CGGTGCGCTTGCCCCCCGCCTCCCCGGATCCAGCCGCTGGCCAGTTTTAGCAGCGGCTGAATAGAGAAAGCTGGGGGCAGAGCAGCTCCAATGGTCCAGCTGCCCAGAGCACTTCCGGGTTCCTGATAGTGCCAGACCATCAGGAGTGCCGGACCGTCAGATGCCGGACCATCGGCGTTTTACTGTACTATGTCTTATAAATACCAATATAGCTCCATTAAATTAAACGAAACATTCAGCTGATCCTGAGTACCAATTGAAAAACCATCAATGGCCAAAACTCAACTCTTATCTGCAAAATCAGCTTAAAATACCTCAAAACAAGCACAACGTACTATAGACTCAGCTCTCTTCAAATTAATTCCAGAACTTTCAGCTTTCCTGCTGCTTTCAGAAGCTTCTGCTTTCTTCCAAACTTCTAAACGAAATCTTTCCATGATTTTGATCTCTTCCCTTAACTCAGTGTTCTCCTTTGTTAAGGTTTCTATCTGGTTTCTAAGACGACCATGAGTAGTTGACCATTTTGCCTCTTTTCTCTTTAAGTCTTCCTGCAAGTCTGCAAGCTTCTGTTTTAAAGCCTTAGAAAAATAAGCATCAATTGTTTGTAAGAGGATACAGCAGAAAATGACTGACTTGTATTAAAACACAGACTAAAGAAAATAGAAATATTTCATTAGCAATGACAGCACAGAAGTCAGTGACCCAAAACAAGTGAAGTATTCTTTGTATGAAGGGCAGGAAGTGGGTTTTTTTCCCCTAAAGACAGGAGTTACTTTGTATTAGTAATGAATAAGGTTGCCAGGTGTCCGGTATTGAACTGAACAGTTCGATATTTTTTGCCTCCTGTCCGGTAAAAAAATTCAGAAAATACCAGGCACCTAAAATGTCTAGTACTTTCGGATTTTTTCCCAACCAGGAGGCAAAAATCCCGGGCTGTCTGACTCAATACGGAGGCAGCCTGGCAACCCTAGTGTTTACTGGTTTAATTTAGCTTGAATTAGCCAACAATAACTATAGTAAGATATTAAAAAGGAAATCTAAAATTCTGACAGAAAATAAGATAGCCATATGATACCAAGATTACAATAAACTGTATTTTAGCAACAATAAGTGCTATACACCCTAGAAGAGTCTAACAAATCTTATCTTGTTCACAGCAACATAATTAAACACAATGGAAATGCACCTTTATGCATAAGATACCTTATAAACAACATCTGTTATCAGATAATCACTGCATAATAAGCACAGTTTATGGACAGAATAATGCTTGATACAAATTCCATTCAGTTCACTATGGTAAATGCATTTGTTTGCAACATAGATATTACAGTAATATTTTATAATTTGATTTAAGTTTATTGCTCTGATGTCATGTTATTTGTTAGTGCCATTCTGTATCTTTTTTGGTATGGGGTCTGACATAAGGACAACATTCTTCAGTAGTGGGTTGTTTGGTTGTTGGGTTTTTTTAAGCAAAATGACAATTATGCAAAGCCTTTGATTTTCAGAATGGGAACTGATGGATGCCAGATACTTTGGTCTAGTTGGGTTATATATTCTTTCTTATCAACCCCCTTCAATTAACAGACTCTATTAATTCCGCTTTTCACAATTGTGCACTTTGGAAGTTCACTGTAAAGATTGAAACAATTTAGATTTTTCTTACCTGAATTTCATCACGTTCCTTTTTATCTGGCATTGCTCTAGCTGCTGTGGCATATTTTTCAAAAATTTTACGCTCTTTTTGCAGTTTTCTCATTTCTTCCTTTTTTACTTCTTCTATCCGAGCCAATTCTTTTGTTTTCTGCTGTTCAAAGTCTGCTATTTCTCGCCTGAAATTACACACAGTTGCTTACTGTTCTGGAACAGAACAACTTCAAGTCTGAAGAATGTATCTTTTGTTGTTTAAAAGAGGAAATTAACAATTATAATTTTACTTCTCAATAATTCAAAATCCACAGGTTATACCTCCAAAATCTGGGACTCTCTGGTCCAGCAGGACTACGGATGCTCCTGGCGCAGAGAGACCCATAACCTAAGTAGGCAGGCGGGCCAGCCAGGCAGGACATCAGAGTTAGCAGCCCAGCTGGGGGCAGCACAGGACTAAGGCTAGAACTCTCCAGCAGCCCCCAGGAGCCCAGAGCTAGTACAGGGGCTCAGAGCCCTGCAGCTTCCCCTGGCTGTGCAGGGCCAGAGCTGGGGCTGCGCAGGAATGGGGTCAAAGCCCCAGGCCCATGACTGCTCCCGGCTGCATAGGAACAGAGCCCTACGGCAGAAGTCAGAGCCTGTGCCACCCAGGGAGCCAGCAGTAGCCGGGCAAGCAACCCAGCTAGGTTGGGGGTGGGGAGAGAGGTAGGGTTGCCTTCTGGGGCAGCCTGCCAGCAGCAGATGATAGGCTTGGGGCCACTGGCAGAAGACCTCCCCTGGTCCAGCAAATTCTCTTGTTTGGGACCTGTCAGGTCCCAGTGATGCCGGACCAGAGAGGTCCAGTGTGTATATATAGACAGAAGAATGTCCTGACTGCCACTGCTGGAGTTTTAAGAATAATCTCTTTGCAGTTCCCAAGAATAAGAATCCCCTCCGTGTTTACTGTTGTTTTGATTAGGAATTGAACAGGAACTCTTTTCAGAGAGTGCAAATACAATTCCTTAGTTGCCAAAATGGATCATAAGAACACAAGAACAGCCAAACTGGGCCAGACCAAAGGTCCATCTAGTCCAGTATCCTATCTTCCAACAGTGGCTAATGCCAAGTGCCCATGAAGGAATTAACAGAACAGGTAGACTGTGTCTACATTGGTGTGATCTTGCGTAAAAGCGGCCTGTCTACACTGGCCACGAGTTCTTGCTCAAGAACACTGACGTTCTAATGTATGAAATCAGTGCTTCTTGTGCAAGAACTATGATGCTTCTGCTCAGGAAGAAGCCCTCTTGCGCAACTGTTCTTGTACAAGAGGCCAGTGTAGACAGGCAGCATGAATTTCTTTCACAAGAAAGCCCTATGGTTAAAATGGCCATCAGAGCTTTCTTGCGCAAGAGAGCATCTACACTGGCATGGATGCTCTTGCGCAAAAGCACATCTCTTGCGCAAAAGTACGTGCCAGCGTAGACACTCTCTCCTGGAAGAGTTTTTACACAAGAACTCTTCCGCAAGAGTTTTTGCGTGAGAACGAGCTAGTGTAGACACAGCCGTAGTCATCAAGTGATCCCTCCCCTATTACCCACCCCTGCTTCTGACAAACAGAGGCTAGGGACACCATTCCTACCCATCCTTGCTAGCAGCAATTGATGGACCTATTCTCGATGAATTTATCTAGTTTTTTTTTTTTAAACCTGTGAAAAATCCTGGCTTTCGTAACATCCTCTGACAAGGAGTTCCACAGTTTGAGCGTATATTGTGTGAAGAAATACCTCCTTTTGTTTGTTTTAAACCAGTTACTTAATTCATTTCGTGACCCCTAGTTCTTGCATTATGGGAACAAGTAAATAATTTTTCCTTATCTACTTTCTCCACACTGGTCATGATTTTATAAACCTCTCATTCACTGTTAGTCTCCTCTTTTCTAAGCTGAAAAGTCCCTGTCTTATTGATTTGAGCATATGGCAGCTGTTCCAAACCCTTCATAATTTTTGTTGCCTTTTTCTGAACTTTTTCCAAAGTTGCTCCCCATTCTGGTATTACAAATGCAGAAGGGTGGGGGGGCTCCCCAAGAGCTCCAAAACCTCACCTCTACAGGCATTGGTTGCAAAAACCTCCCCCCCCAAAATCCTAATACACAATTTTTGGGGAATTTGCTGCCACCATCAAGTGCTTTTTGATCCTTAAAAAAACAGGGGTGAACACTTCAAACCACCCCCAAGGGTATCCCAAGCTCTTTTGCCCCAAAAGAGCTTGAAAAAGAAAAGAGATAAACAAGCTGCAGTCTGAGGTAGCTGACCCCTCAGTCAGAGACATGCAGACAGACCTTCCAGGACACAAAAATCAAATCACCACCTTAAAGTAAGTTATTTTTATTACAATACAAAAGATAAGCATACTTGATTGCTAGATGTACAGAACTAAGGAAAACAAATTTAAAAAAATCAGAGAACATCTCTGGCCCAATACTTAGATGGTAAAGGAGATGGGAAGGCATAGATACACAGCAGTTCAAACCAAACCACAAAATAAAGAAAAATTACCCTGAATGTGACTGGACTCACATTTCCCTACTGGTGTTAACCCTCCCACACAAAGAAAGTGGGCAGGGAAACTATATCCAATTCAAATTTCAAGCCTCTATCAATTGGCTCTATCAGCCCCCTGGCCAACACCTTTACTAGATACCTGAGTTGACCCCTTAGTCACTGGGTGCTGGTCAGCACTCCTCCTGTTCATGACAGAAGCCAAGGTATCTTTTTTTAAATGAAGCGGCCACATCTGCAAGCAGTATTCAAGATGTGGCCATACCATGGATTTATATATGAGCAATAAGATATTCTCTGTCTTATTCTCTAACCCTTTTTAATGATTCCCAACATTGTTTGCTTTTTTGACTGCTGCAGCACATAGGATGTTTTCAGACAACTATCCAAGTGAGAGATCTTGAAGTCATTGTGAATAGTAATAGCTAATTTAGAGCCCCATCACTTTTTATGTATAGTTGGGATTATGCCAATATGCATTACTTTGCATTTATCAACATTAAAATTAATTTGCCATTTTATTGCCCAGTCATCTAGTTTTGTGAGACCCTTTTGATGCTCTTCACAGTTGACTTTGGGTTTAACTATTTTGAGCAGTTTAGTATCATCTGCAAATTTTGCCAGCTCAGTTTACCTCTTTTTCCAGATTATTTATGAATATGTTGAATAGAATTGGGCCTAGTCCAGACTCCTGTGGGACACCACTAGTTACCCCTCTCCATTCTGAAAACGGACCATTTATTCCTATTTTTTGTTTCCTATCTGGTAATCAGTTATCAGTTCATGAAAGGACCTTCATTCTTATCCCATAACTTATCTTGCTTTAGAGCCTTTGGTGAGTGATCATGTCAAAGGTTTTTGGGAAATTTAGGTATACTAGATCCACTGGATCCCCCTGTCCACATGCTTGTTAACCCCCTCCGAGAATACTAGTACATTAGTGAGGCATGATTTCCCTTTACAGAAACCATGTTGATTTTTCCCCAACATAACATGTTATCATCCAATACAAGGCATTTCTTCTCCTTCCTCATCCCTAAAGCTACCCTTTTCCAGCACACACATGCCCAGGAAAATATTTCCAGGAATAATATCTGATCAAAAAGACAGCAACATAGTCATCTTTTAGCAAAACACCAGGTAAAAAGCAAGAAGCCTGGGAAAGCAGATTTTATTCTTTTTTTAAAAGTTATAAATGAGCCTCAATCTATAAAGAGATGTTTTTCAAGGTCTTGCAGCCATAAGAACTTTCACACTGAGCATGCTGGTATAGCTTTAAAATTGTTTTGATTCATTTTCTAGAGTAGCAACTTGAGTGATAATTATGCAGTTTAATCCATTGCATTTTGAATATTTAAATTTCCTATTGTGACCAAAAAAAAGATCTAAAACTACACTGTATTACAGAGGTCTCCAACCTTTTTACACCCAAGATCACTTTTTAAATGTCAAGGCAAGCCAAGATCTACCCCATCCCTTCCTTGAGGCCCTGCCTTCTCCATTCCCCTCCTTTTCATCACTTCCTGTCCCCAGCCCTTACTCACGCTCACTGGGTTGAGACAGGAGGTATGAAGGGGTGAGAGGTGCAAGCTCTGGAAGGGAATTTGAGTACAAGGGATGCTGACTCAAGGGGGCTCCATGCTCGATAGTGTTGGGATCAGGTGGAGGGTTGGGGAGCTGAGCAAGCTGCAGGCTTCTGGATGTGGGGGTGCAGGAGTTTGAGTTGGGCTGTCTGAGGGACTCAGGGCAGGGGGGTTGGGTGTTTGATGGGCTCAGGTTTGCAGTTTGTGGATGATGCAGGAGTGTTGTGGCAGAAGACTGGATGTGGGGAGTGCAGGAGTTTGGGGATGTGAGGGGTTCAGGGAAAGGGGTTCAGGTTTATGAGGGGCTCAGTGTTGGGTGTGAGGAGTGCAGGAATGTTTCAATTCTTAAGCCCCCATCTGGCTGGTTGGCCAGGCTTCATTTTTAAATAAAATACTATGTCCAACACAAAAGGTTTCAACATTGTATTTATTTATGGGAGGAGCGGAGAACCTTTTTTGGGTCAGGGCTACTGACCCACAGAAAAAAAAAAATCAGTCAGGTAGCACACAAGTGAGATGCAAAAAAGGCAACCCCTCCAACAAAAACCCAACCCTCACTGATGTAGCCCCAACTGAGACACCTCACTCCCCTGGCACTCCAGCCCCATGGGGGCGAGACAGGGGAGAAATGAAGGTAGGACTGGGGTTCAAGGTCTCAGGCCATATTAATTATTCTGAGGTTCCAGAGTTAGTGGATTTTGTGGGCCCCCCCTAAATTCTGGATTGGGGCCAAAAATGAGGGGTCCAGTGTGCAGGACAGAGCTGCGAGTGAGTGGAATAGGCATGGTGGTACAGAATCTGGGTGGGAGGTAGGGTGCAGGAGCAAGCTGGGGGTAGGTGTATGGCCAGGGGACAGGGCATAGGAGCAGGGTTCTGGTGGGTCTCTAGCCAGGGTAAAGGAGGCAGGAGCAGCTTGGCCAGTACCTGGGGGTCTCCAAGACCGAGTATCTCTTGGGCAGGATCTGCAGGCAGCACTGGAAGAAGTGCATGTGCCATTCCTTTAAGTAATCCAGCTGCTCAAAGTCTGGCTCCTCTGCCACCATGTTAGCCTCACCTCCCTCCCTGACCCTACCTCCCCAGAGCAGAGAGGAAGGAAGAGAAAATAAGGAAGCACGTGTGCTGCTGTGGGGAGGGGAGGAGCAGTGTGCACACTTCCTAACAAGCTGGACCTCCCCTCCCCCCTACAGGAAGCTAGTGCTAGCTCCAATTTTGTGAAGGGCAGGAGGCTGTAACACTAGTGCAGGCTCCTTGTTACAAGTGAGAGGGAGCGTGGGAGGGGAAAGAGGAGAACAGGCTGGTAACACTGACTGTGTCAAGATCAATTGTCAGTGCCTCTGAGATCAACCAGTTGATCACGATGGACTGGTTCGTGACCACTGCTGTATTATATTCTGAGAGATTTCCATTACCTACCTGTGTACTAAATATCAGAGATAGTTCAACTGGTTCACAAGCCATGTGAGGCTATTATAGCCGCTCGCACTCGTTCCACACTCTACCTACTAGACTGAGGTGGGGGAATGGAGTGGAACTTAGGGCTCCTGCGCTGAAGTAGGGGGATGGAGCCAGGGATTTCTATGCAGTGGAGCAAGAGTCTAGGAGCTTCAGTCCTACATAAGCCTGCCAACACTTAGGATTGCAGTTTCATTCTTCCTGAAACCCGAAACACTGGCAGTGCCTCCCATGCAGCTGAAGCTTTGAGCCCCACCATTCTGCTGCAGGGCAGAACTCCCTAGTAATCCAACTCTCAAACTATTGAAGATTTTCATATGCAGCTCAGAGCATCAGCAAATTTGTTCATCCCCAAAGTATCTCTGCAATATTTACTACTACCCAATACTGGTGTGCTTACATGCAGATTTGCTCATTTATCTATTTATAAAATAGCTTTAACTAAAGATTAAGGAAATGTACTTACTAAACAAATAAAACACACTGAAATGTTCCCATTGAAAAATTACCTGAGATTTTCTAAGGCGCTCTCTCGCTCTTCACGGAGTTTGGTTAGAGATGCATTTTCAGCTCTGAACCTTTCAATTTCTGTTTCCAACTCAACAAGCTTCTCTCTTAGCATCCGGGATCGAACAATGTCTCCTATCAGGCAATGGGGATAGCCAAGTAAACAGACATTCATACAGAGAATGTTGAAATCATTAACACCTGACAAATTTAGTGTATACCTCATCAGCTGATCTAAGGAATAAATAACTAGTCTCCAAATAATACAGTAGGTGATAAGTCAGTCCTTCTCAAAGCAATCTGTGCTGCTTGTTCATCTCAAGTTTTGAATATATTTGTTACACAGGGACAACAGGGTATGCAAGAAATACAAATTTAAATCTGAATTAGTCTGATGAGAACTACTTTATTTTGAGGAAGTAAATCAAGGTTCATACTGGAGACGAAAGAGACGGCCAGGCACTTCAAAACTGTACCCATTTAGTTAAATAAGATAAACTCTGCCCATTCAAGTCAGAAAAAAAAAGACCAACTTCAAAATACACTGAGCAGATGTTTGAAATATGATTGTTCACACTCTGGGTTGGGTGAACTTGGCTCAGCCTCGATGGGTACATCTACCCGACAAAGAACAGTAAGCCTCCCAACCCAGGTTGACAGATTTAGGCATGCACTAATGCTCTAAAAAAAATAGCTGTATAGACAGCGGTTTGAAATTGCTGCTTTGACTTGGAAGCCAATTCAAGTCTATTGATCCAGGCTGAGTCTAGGCTTTGTAGATGTAAGTAAGGCTCAAAAACACCCATAGGCTGTTAGGATCTTCTTGACTGGAAGTTTAAAGTGTAGAAGTTTAAAAAAAAAAAAAAAAAAGCAAGTGGTGGTATCTCTCAACCACTTCCTATTTGGGGTACCAAAAGGAAAAATTGCTCAAAGATTATTGTGGAGATCCATGCAATTCCAGCAACAGTTTATACTAGCATACTCTAAATTTACATTCACATGATTGATAACTAACAGCAACTGCAATTTTTTCATTCCTTTCTATTATTTTATTGCTTGTTTTTAAAACATCTAATGTCAGTTTACAGTGGAGTGTGTCTATAAATACTATTCTCTTACCTCCTGGTTCTTCTTTTCCTATATTTGATTTGGTTTCATGGCTTGCAGGACAGTCTGGCTTCTCTTTTGGTTTCAGCGAAGGAAAGAGTTTCATCATGAGGTCCGATGTGGGAGGTGCATTTGCATCACCATCTGTCACACACTGTTTGGGCAAATCATCTCCCTTCTTTATTGAAGCAACCTTCCTCTTTATTGTTTTATCTGAGGCAGCCATTTCATTTTTATTACAAGAGTCAGTTTGTGGAGGTACTTTAATGATATCATTTTGGAGTACTTCACGCTGAATCTCATTTTCTTCAAGGTCAGTCCATGTTCTTTCATCATCAAACTCAACCTTATTCCTATTTGCACATGAAACACTTATTTGCAAGTCAGACACTTTGCTATTGCTCTGACTTGGTAGCACATTGGATTCATCACTGCTATAATCTTTGTCTGATAAGTCAAGATCAACATCCCTACTTTTGCTTTCTTTGCTGAGGTCTTTGACTGGTCCGGTGCAATCACAAAATTCTGGATTTTCTTCTCTGATGCTCAAAATGAACTTTTTAGCATCTTCAGTTGCACATTTTAAGGTGGTCTCAAGTTCTTCCTCAGACTCTGTAGTAATGACACTGCTTCCATCATCCTTATCTTCATTTACATCCCATTCAGTGCTTTTTAAAGTTGGAGTTGCTGCAGTGGAAAAAACCTGAGACATTTTACTATCTGTTTTAGTGAATTGGTCCTTTAATCTAATAGACGCCCTTGAATCCAAGACTGCATGTGTAACTGCCCTGTGACTTTTATTTCCTTGTAAGATTATTTCTCTTTTATTTTTGTTACTTATAATATCCAGTGCATTCATCTGCTGCATTGCTTTGACAGGGGTAGAAGACATTCTACGGCCTTTTGAAATTTGCTGATCTCGATCCAAAATCCTTTGTACAAATGAGGAATTACTTGAAAAAGAGATTTCATCAGCAGCCTGTTCTAGAAACAAAAACTCATCTAATTCTATGTTTTCTTTTTCCTTTTCTTTTTCCCAGTTTTCCAACTTATTTTGGAATGAAAGTTCAAAAGAAAGTTCTGAATCATTTACAGGGCAACATTTAGAAAGAGCTATGGGCAACTGAGGTTTTTCTAGATCTGAAAATTTGTTTGTGAACTTGCTGCCAATTTCAGCAGGCCTTGCAAATTCCATTATATTTTCTTTATTTTCGAATTTGCTATTAATTTCTGATCTGAGAGAGTCTCTGAGCTGCCCATCAATATTCTTCTCAGTCTGCAGTCTTGCTGTTGATGCTGCTATACTTTTTCCATTATGATTCTTGAGTACCATGGCCCTCTGAACAGGGAAGACCAAATCATTTGTTGATTTAGCAGTTCGATTACTATTTTTAGAGGGCATAGCAAAATTCCCAGAAACCTGTTCCTTGCTGAAAGGTGCAGTTTTCCGTTGTATTTGTGGTCTGTCCACTTTAACAACATGTCTGTCCTCCGAAGTAGTGAGAGTTATCGGCTTGCATTCTTTATACTTACTTACTTTAGATTTGGCATTAGTGAATCTAGTTAAGCCTTCTCCTCTTTTCAGAAAAGGTCGTTTTGTCAGTGGTTTCTGAAAGGATGACCTACTTACTTCCTTTAAAAAAATAAAAATAAAAATAAAAGAACAACATTAAAATTTCCATTATATACTTAGACTTATTTAAGTAAGGCTTACTAATATGTACAGTTATACAATACGTGTCTCAACATAGTTTTAAGGCAGGCCAGAATCTTAAAAAGGAATAATTAGTTTTGAACTTGTATATTGCATATATAAAGTTGTAACTCGTAAGGGCAGGGGTCTGTCTTCTCTCCTTTGTAAAGTTTCTAATACATTTTGGGAAAGTATATAAATAACTGTAGTGTTTATAGTAATTAACCTGTTGTGCCTCTTTTTGCTTCAGGCGCTGGTCTTCAAGTCGTATCTGTTCTTCAAGGAATTCTTCAAATGTTTGTTTCCTCTCCTGAATCCCAGCTTTAATAGGCCTAGTAGAATTTTTTTTAATTATAAATTGTAATGATAAAGTTAAATAATTGTTTGCCATACATTTCATAGAATCATAGAGCTGGAAGAGACCTCAGAAGGTCATCAAGTCCAGCCGCCTGCTCTAGGCAGGACCAATCCCAACTAAATCACCCCGGCCAGGGCTTTGTCAAGCCGAGACTTAAACACTCTAGGGATGGAGACTCCACTACTTCCCTAGGTAACCCATTCCAGTGCTTCACTACCCTCCTAGTGAAATAGTTTTTCCTTATAGCCAACCTGGCCCTCTCCCACCACAACTTGAGACCATTGCTCCTTGTTCTACCATCTGTCACTACTGAGAACAGCCTCTCTCCATCCTCTTTGTAGCCTCCCTTTAAGGAAGTTGAAGGCGGCTATCAAATCCCCCCTCCCTCTTCACTTCTGCAGACTAAACAGACCCAACTCCCTCAGCCTCTCCTCATAAGTCATATGCTCCAGCCCCTAATCATTTTGGTTGCACTCCGCTGGACCCTCTCCAATGCGTCCACATCCTTTTTGTAGTGGGGGGCCCACAACTGGACACAATACTCCAGATGTGGCCTCACCAAAGCCGAATAAAGGGGAATAATGACATCTCTGGATCTGCTGGCAATGCTCCTCTTAATGCAACCTAATACGCTATTAGCCTTCTCGGCAACAAGGGCACACTGTTGACTCATATCCAGCTTCTCATCCACTGTAACCCCCAGGTCCTTTTTTGCAGAACTACTACTTAACTGGTTGGTCCCCAGCTTGTAACTATGCTTGGGATTCTTTCGTCTCAAGTGCAGGACTCTGCACTTGTCCTTGTTGAACCTCATCAGATTTCTTGTGGCCCAATCCTCCAATTTGTATAAGTCACTCAAATTTCTCCTGTTAAGGTCATCTTTCTAGCCTGTCATTCTGACTACATAATCCTTCCTCTTTCATTGAAAGCATGGACAAGAAATCTGTTTTGCAATGACATTCACAATTTAACCCTGTTCTACTTAACCCTATGTTCCTTTTAGTTTAGCTTCATCAGTGACACCGGTCTTTGCCACCCATATATCCAGTTCTCCCCACAAACGCCATCATTCTTTCTCCCCTACTACCCCTACATGAGAGATTCCTTCTAAAAATAAAACAAGCCTTATCCTCTTCCACATCTCTTTCAGACTCAGCCCTTTTCTGTACTCATTATGGCAGAGATATCTGATAATGGCTATATCAGGGAAAGTTGTGATTAATTGATTGGCTTATTACAACTATATTTACTCACATAATAAAGCTATGCTAAACATTATCCCCCAAGATAATTTATTTCAGCCATCTGTTATGCCACACCTTTCACACCATAAGCATTTAGGGCAGGGATTTCCTTTGCTATATCTCTGATTACGCCTTTTGCAATGGGAGTCCATCTTGGTTGAGGCTTCTAGGTGCTACTCTAAACATAAATATTATAATTTTAAACACTTTTCAGAAAGTCTTATGTCAAAAAAGAACTTTACCGAATGGAGAGAGCTATTGTACACAAGTTTATATTTACCTTTCCTCTATGTTAGCTGCTTGTAAGCATTTTCTTCCATTGGGACTTTCAGAAAATTCTACCTTTCTTGAACGTAAATGATCAGTGTCACTGTCTTCACCTCCAACAGACTTTTCTATCTTTTGTTTTGGACACCAAGTGCTTTCCCCTACAAAAATGTTAGAAATGTCTCTTTTTTTTTTTCCTGCTAACGTGAAACCAGTTTTCAGCTTCTATTTTAAAAACCAGGAATGATAGTCAGATGCAATTCACAGATTATGAAATCAGAAAGGACTCCTGTTACGTAGTCTTACCCGGTTAACACAAAGCTATGGAACCTAAGTTCCCTCTCAACTGCGTGGCTAGGCAGCTGCCTAATAAGCCCCATGAAGGGTGGCTGTAGAGTGCCACTGCTGCCCACCAGCCCCAGCACCGAACTGCTGCAGCCAGGGCAGAAACACCTCTCCCCCTACTGCAGCAGCTCCATGTTGGGGCTAGGGTGCCTTCCCTCTGGCCAAGGCACCCGATCTGGAGGCGCTCAAGCTGTCACTGCCAGGGCAAAGGTACCCCCTTTCCCTGGTCCCCACGCAGCCTAGCTTGGATCTTCCTTGCCGGAGGAACAGGTGGCCATCCCTGGGCAGTGCCTGCTGGAGCAACAGTGGCCATGGAGAGGCACCTCTCACCTGGTCCCAAGCTGTTGCAGTGAGAGGGGATGGAGTAGTTCTCTCTCCCTAGGTCAGCCTGCACCCCAGAGCCCACACCCAATCCTCTGCCCCTGCTCTGAGCCCCCTTCTAAACTCCAACATTTCGGTCCCACCCCCACCACACACTGTCAGTGTGCTGAATTATTTTTGCTGTTATACATCACCTCCATATTTGTGCACATATTAAAAGTCATTCTGCACGTGGACATAAAAAGTTAAAGAGGGAACGCTAACATGAGACTTCCCTAAAGTCCTGTTTGTCTTTTAGAACAACATCCAATCTTGAATTAAAGATTTCCAGTGATGGAAAATCCACCACAACTCTTGGTAGCTGTTTCAATGGATATTTAGGGTCATTTAAAAATGTGCACTTTATTTTTATTTCGAATTTGTCTAGCTTCAGCTTCTAGCCATTAGATTCTATTAGAACTTTGTCTATCAGTTTGAAAAACCCTCTATTATTAAATTCTTATCCTCCATATAGGTACTTCTGGACTCGCTCAGCTCAAATCACCCCTTAACCATCTCTTTGATAAACTAAATTGAGCTACAGGTTGGACCTCTCTGGTCCAGCACGCTCGGGACCTGACTGGTCCCGGATGAGGGATTTTGGAAGACCAGGATAGATCATTTCTGGTCCTCCCCTCCCCCCCCCCCGACCTCAGCCCACCTTGACTGCACATTGTCCCCGGTTCCCAGCCCCCTAATCCCTGCAGCACACCAGTACTTTCTGATCCTTAGGGACCATGGATGTTGCTAGACCAGAGCGTTTGAGTTTATAGAGGTGCAACCTGTACTTGAGATCATCATTACAGGCAGTCCCCGGGTTACGTACAAGATAGGGACTGTAGGTTTGTTCTTAAGTTGAATCTGTATGTAAGTCGGAACTGGCTCCAAATTCAGACACTGCTGAAACTGACCGCCAGTTCTAACTTACATACAGAATCAACTTAAGAACCCCAGGCGTCCCCAAGTCAGCTGCTGCTGAAACTGATCAGCAACTGATTCCAGGAAGCCCAGGGCAGAGCAACTCTGCCTGGGGCTTCCTGTAGTCAGCGCTGGTCAGTTTCAGCAGAAGCTGACTTGGGGACGCCTGGGGCAGAGCAGCTGGGGTGCT